CCAAGTGGTAGCGTTTGAGGCTGTCTTCTGTTTTGGGAACAAATTCATCCGTGGCACCAGAAGTCTCTTCCCCCGCACACGGTGTTATGCAAAACGTTTGCATGTAGAACACAATAATCTTCCTGTCTGATGCATTTAGATATACTACCGGCAGGTCAGCTCGGAAAACCAAAATACTTTCTTTTTAGCAAAGTGTGTTTGCCGTTTAGCTTTCCTAATGTGGGCTTTTTACATCTTGCGTGCACATTTTTTAAATGGCAAGTCATGGAATTTCCAGGTTCTTGAATGCTTATGGTTTTTGCAGCTGGAAGAAAAGTTAAAAGTTGCCACTGGCCCTGGGATTACTGAATTCTGAAGCGTTTTATGGCTTTTAACTGAGTGATCTTGGTGCATCCACCTAACGGTGATTCCTTTATTCAAATTGGTTTGTTCCAAAATGTAAATGTTTGCTGCATTTGGGTTCAGTCAGGTCCAATGAGTAATGTCTTGAATGAGAGACAACAAAGAGACTTGCTGTCTGTAACTGCATTTATTTTAAATGTGTAACTGCACTTCATGTAACTGTTCTAGTTCTAATGTCTGTAAGGGGGATTCTCCAGGCTGCAACATACAAGAAAGGTGCAAACATGAAATGCATGTTGTTTGTTTTGGGGGCCTTGTTTGGCTTATTAAAATTTCAATTATGGAAAAAAAAGAAGAAAATAAGAAAAAAGAAAACAAACCAAAACGAAAACAAAAATCCCACCACTACTTCATTGGCCCGTGTAAATCTGCACTTTTTCCCTTTGCGGGGCAAACTTTGCATTTTTTTATCTTGGTTTTTCCCTCTTTGATCCCCCATAATGCATTATGTTTGACCTTCCTTGTAGGGTCAGCCAGGAGAAAAGGGAAAGACCAGCCTGAGAGTCAGCGTCCTGCAACCTTGCCGGCCTCCCCTCCTTCTCAGTTGCTCCGCAACGCGGGGGAGCAGGCTTCCAATACTAATGGTACACACCAGTTCTCACCAACGGGTTTAAGTCAAGACTTTTTCAGCTCATCCCTGGCGAGCCCCAGCTTACCCCTGGCCTCCACAGGAAAATTTGCACTAAACTCTCTCCTCCAGCGACAGCTAATGCAGTCCTTCTACTCCAAGGCAATGCAGGAAGCAGGAAGCACAAGCATGATTTTTTCAACAGGTCCTTACAGCACAAACTCCATATCTTCCCAAAGTCCATTACAACAAAGTCCGGACGTAAATGGCATGGCCCCCTCTCCCAGCCAGTCAGAAAGTGCTGGGAGCATCTCTGAAGGCGAGGAGATAGACACGGCCGAAATTGCACGTCAGGTGAAAGAGCAGTTGATCAAGCACAATATTGGACAGCGGATATTTGGACATTATGTGTTGGGACTGTCGCAAGGGTCTGTGAGCGAGATACTAGCCCGGCCAAAGCCATGGAATAAACTGACTGTGAGAGGCAAGGAGCCATTTCATAAGATGAAGCAGTTCCTCTCGGACGAGCAGAACATCTTGGCTCTTCGCAGCATCCAGGGTAGACAAAGAGGTAAGCACTCACCGGCTGAGGGTCTGGCCCTGTTTTCCTGTTAGTTACAAATGTTAAAAACCAGAAGCTTCGCCTGTACGGGGCCGTTTGTGCATTGCTGCTGTTTTCACCCAAACCAGATGTCGGGTGCAGAACGTAACAGCTTTCTAACTCTGCTTTTCAGCACTCAAGCAGGTTAGTATCTTTGCTTATGCTTTTTTTTAGCTGCTGGCTTGTGTTTGTCAGCAGGAGCAAGCAGCAGGGACACTTACATCCCTCACTTCCCAACAGCTCCATGTCAGAGCTAAACACAGAGTGAAAAGGGTCAGTAGCTACTAAGGGTATCAGCCCTCAGAAATACTTGAAAATTTTTGCTTGGGGTTGTTTATTGAGGCTAGGCTTTTGTTGTGTCTTGTGCGATTGGTGTTTCTCAAAGTGTTTTGACAGAACATCATAGGTGATGCATGAGATGAGTAATTAAAAAACAGTCCTAATTTAAAGCAGCTTTGCATATTTAAGGCAGCGATTCTAAGAAATAACATGCATTTCACTGTGATTCATCCTAAGCGAAGACTGAGATTTACATTTAGAGAAACTGAAAAGTAAGTTGTTTACAGTCAAGAAATATTGGACAGGACAGGCAGGATTTTCCTAAATTTTGTTTAATTGAAAGTGCACACTGTTAGATTTATAATCTGCTCTTCCTTTGAATGATTGTACTTGAGGGGATTATCTGCCCATCTTTAACCTCTTCATTTTTGGTATCTCTAGACATTTATTTATATCTGTCTAATCTCCTTTCCGAACGTAGCTGTAATCTTTATTAACAAATCAGCCAGCCTTGCTTCTTCCAAAGTGGCCAGCTCCTCCCGCGCTCAGGCAGAGGCTCGAGGGGGCGAGGGCGGCTGGAACCCTCGCGCCCTGAGACGGGCTGCTGGCTTCTCATTGTCACACAGCCCGTGATGTCAGAGCAACCATCCCCTGATTGTTTTGTTCTTACCAAACTTGTTTTTCAACAGAGAATCCAGGCCAGAACCTGAACAGACTATTTCAGGAAGTACCGAAACGAAGAAATGGGTCTGAAGGTACGTCACAGGCAGGTGTTTTTCTTTGCAGTCAATACCTAGGAAGTGGAGTGTGCTTTAGCTGTGTGTTTCCTTAAAACTGTGCAGTTTGATTCTGGCCTGGAATCTGATAGAAAAACAGACAGTAAGTATAAAACAAACCATGGGTTAGACGAGCACTTTGCTTTTTTAATTCTCCTGCTGCTGTACTAACGTAACGCTGTTTGGGTACTTTTCCCACCCCCAACCTCACCGCGTGCGCAGATAGAAAGAGATAGAAGTGGCTCTGTAAAATCTCTTGAAATGCTCTCTTTGCTATTTTTGTGACTTTGGAGGGAGAAAGTTGCACAGTTACGTATGATCCAACATCAGTTGCGTACTGCTTCTGCTCTAGATTTACTTCTTTCTTTTCATGGGGCTTATGTTGACAAATACAGTGTAATACGCTGTTTAATTAGTGTGATACTTACTTCAGTGTGGTCTGTGAAAAGGATAACAAGATAAGTGACCATCAGATCAATAAATTATCACTGAACAGGAAGTAGGGACTTTTTTCTTCCTTATAGATTAGTAGCAGAATTTTTCTTTTAGCAATTTTTCTTTTAGCAAGAGGAAGAAGCAAAAACAGGTACCCTGAAACACTAGTTATTTTGACTCCAGTCAGAAATTATCTAGCTCACCTACAAATGATAACCTCAGAATGAAAAATGCAGTTAGGTGCAGTAGCATTCACAGTCGCCGTTTTCCCTTCTTTTCTTCCCCTTAGTGGTTAAAAAAACCAAGCAACCAAGTATTAGCTCTTAGCTGGAGAGTACTTCAAATGGTGTCTGCATTTAAATGACTGCTTCTCTTAGTGTATTAACCTCTAGAAAGTTAAATTCAGTTTTTTCTAGTTACGTTTTTTGGGCTGAATGTATACTCATCCTACTGTGCCTAGCAGCTGATGCAATTTTTAAGGTGATTCCTGATCTTACATTTTTAGCTTTCTTCCTTTCCCCTCCGGTTCTTTTCCCTTCTGTTTCCTCTCCCCCTCCAAAAAAGAAAAAGGAAAAAAATAGGCCTATATATGTTACCCTGGAAAAGGAATATCTGACCACCTAGTTATTCCTCTGATGATCCCGGTGCTCTCATCGCTCCAGCGCAGCTCGCAGGCGGGCTTTTGCACAACGAGGATATTTTTCTTTTATGATGTGAAGTGGGTTCTTGGTGTTGTAAATGTTGGTAAAGGTCACGTGTAAACCGTCCTCAGGTCACGCTGGCGGGAGATCGGCATGTGCTGTCCATCTTTGTGTTAAAAAGACCCAAAAGTTTTCCCGGTGTCATGGGTTTTGTTTTCCTCTTCAGGTAATATAACCACAAGAATCCGAACCACAGAGTCTGGCTCTGATGAAGCCATCAAATCCATTCTCGAACAAGCCAAAAGGGAGCTGCAAGTACAGAAAACAGGTACGCTCTCATTTTGTCTCTTGCTCCTTTTATTTCAGAATTTAATTAAAACAATTACCAGGAGCTTTCTGGTCAGTTAATTATATTCTTAAAACTTTGAATGTAGGTTTGAAGAGCTGCTTTTTTTTCTTTTTTTGTGTTATTTAGGGGAGTTGTTTCTGCCTATAAGGCAGCCCAAGTTAAGGTTACATGTGTCACGCCTTGGCAGGGTCTCTGCTCAATGCTCTGCCCGCTCTGCTATGCCCCACTCCTGGGGCAGTGATGCTGTGAGATTCCTAAACACCGTTTTTCCAAGTGCAGAGCTCTGCCTTCCTTACAGCACTCCAGACCCACAGGCAGTCACTGTGCAGGACGAACCCTCAAAATCCTTTCTTCTGCCAGTTTGCTCCTTGGAAAGGGAATGGCTCCTGCTTTCTCTTCTCTTCGATCTAACTCAGGCCCCAGGGACACAACTGCATGGGAGAGGGAACTGAATGGGTTGGTTTGGGCAGAGGTCACAACCTAGCCAGCAATTACCAGTCACACAGTACCATCCTACTGTGGACATCGTGTACTGAAGTTACAGTACAGACAAACTCAGTTCTAACTCTTAGGACACTATTTTTGGTTACAGAATGCACTCAGTGAATGAGCTGGTAAATCCAAAAAGCATTTCCTTTCCCAAAAACATCATTAATTTAACGTCTTAGCCTGAGATAAGTTTCATTTCTCATTGTACGCTGTCATGTAGTTAACATTTCTGTCTACTCCGTAGCCCTCCCAACTCCAAAAGGATTTCCAGTACTGCTGAAGGGCTAATGCTGAAGTAGAGAGTACTGTGCATTGCTTCTGTTTCATTTTTTAGTGTAAATACTCATTTACAGTTTTGGATAACTGTCTTTTAATTTAAAACTAAGCTAAACCCATGGCAAAATATGAAGGACTAGTTAGTATAAGTTTTAAATAATGTGACTTCATACAAGTAATGATTACACAGGGAAAAACGTGGGCTGTGTGCAGGGAACTGCAAGCACGTTGTTCAGGAGCATGTTTCATCTGAGAATCTCAGGCTTCCTTTCAAATACTAATTCAGCCTCAAAACTCCCTGTGAAACCAGGAGATAAAACAGAAGAGATGATCCCCCTGTCTTTCCCATTTCTTAGCTTTTCATGTACTTTATCGTGTGTGACAGGAAGGAATGTAGGGAGGCCAATTCGGCAGTGTATTCAGATGAGGCATAAAATTACTAGAATAATACGCAGCATGTTTCAAATCTCATTTCACTTTGAGGCCACTTCTTGCAGTGTATGGGTTCCCTGCTACTATCTAGGGCTTCAGTTACCCCATTCTTTGTAGAGCAGCTTTCAGAGGAATTAGTTTTCCAGCACTGGGGACCTCAGCAGAGACTGGCTTAAATGGAAACAGATGCCATTGCAAAAACCACCCGGCGCTGCAGAGATAACTCTACACCCACGTTCCAGTCTCTGCTCACCCCGACGGCTGCAGCACAGCCACACGAGTCCTGGATCACCACTGAAATACTGCATTTACGTGTCAGCTCTTCGGAAGGCGCCCGTGGCTCCGCTGTAGGGCTTGGGACGAGGCAGAGTGATGGCCAGGCATCAGCCTGCTTTTTGTCGAGCTGTTTCAGTGGTTGGGACCTTGGAAAAAGAAAACAGGAAGCAGGAGCATATTTAGCTTGTCAAATGAAAGAATGAAGTCTCTCACTGAAGTTCTTGCTCTGTTGTAATTTGTGTGTTATGTTTTGGGAGTTAAAAGGACTCACCTTATTTATATTGTAAGAGGGTCTAAATAGTCTGTCCAGGTGAACGCAGCTGTGTTCAGTTTGGAGTGCGTGTTACGATTCATTTGTGGAGATAGAGAGAAGTGAAAGGTTAAATAACTCTGTAAATAGAACTGTAAAATGTTATTGGGCACTTGGGGTGGGGGAGGAAGGGGTGAAGGCTTGATTTTCAAAGGCATTTATTTGAAAATTTTTACAGCGGTGGAAGGCACGCAGGTAGTCCTAGACTTCTGCAGTTGGGTCTGTGCGTGCACATGTCCAGCACTTTGGCAACTATAAAAATTTTCCAGTGAAGAACTTTGGAAATCTTACCTTATTTTGAAAAGTGCAAATCTTTGCTTAGTGAAAACTCCTCCCTCCCATCCAGAAACGTATTGCAGCCCTTTTTCTGACAGGGAAATATGTACAGTAGCACGTGTTGAATATAAAGCATATTCCTCTGTTGCATTTAGTCTTTTGGTTGTTTTTCATAGCTGAGCCGGCTCAGCCGCCTTCTGCATCTAGCAGTGGCAATTCTGATGATGCTATTCGATCCATTCTGCAACAAGCCCGACGCGAAATGGAGGCACAGCAGGCTGCCCTTGAACCTGCCTTAAAAACACCACCTTTATCTCAAGCTGACATTTCTATCCTGTCCCCCAAACTAGTATCTACACCTGCAATGTCTTCGGTTTCCAGCTATTCTCCTTTGGCCATATCCCTGAAGAAACATTCATCTGTCACTGATTCCAGTATCTCTGCATTGCAGAACCTCTCTGGGCTCAAAAAGGAGCCTCAGGAGGCACCTGTTCTAGAGCTTCATGGAATAAGTGATTCTGCCCAGGGTATGTTGAGGCATGTTAAAAATGAGTTGGGACGTGGTGGTGTTTGGAAGGACCATTGGTGGAATACTGTGCAGCATGAGAGAAGAAATACAGCTCTTCCCGAAGACGTAAAAGTTGAGGAAGCCAGTGGTGGAAAAGAAAAGGTCAGCAATCAGACTAGGCCAGATCGTAGCCAGCTCCAAGGACCATCTTCTTCAAGTGGCCAAACGCTGAATCTCCGTACTCCCAGAGTTCTGAATTGAGCATGACTGGGGCAAGTCGCAGTGAGACACCACAAAATAGCCCCCTCCCTTCATCCCCTATCGTGTCTTTGTCAAAGCCATCCAAACCTTCGGTTCCTCCACTGACACCCGAGCAGTATGAGATTTATATGTACCAGGAGGTGGATACGATAGAGCTAACGCGTCAGGTCAAAGAAAAGCTAGCAAAGAATGGCATCTGCCAAAGGATCTTTGGGGAAAAGGTAAAGAACCGGATCTCTCTTGTTACACCACTATTGTCAATGTGCGTTGTGCTCCTTACGTTGGTACGGAGCGCAGTCGAACGGAGGGGGATGTGCCACGTATGTCTTGTGGAAAAATGGTTTCGTTGCGGATGTTCGGTATTTAAAAAATAAGCTCACGCAGCAAAGTGTTTAGTTTTCCAGCATTTTGTGAATTGCATAGGTTTTTATACAAATTGGCTTCAGCCACTTGTAATCAGAAATGGGGCCCCCGAGTTTAGAAACAGTGAAAGCTGAAGCAAACGTTATTGAGACTCGGTATTTCATGCTTAATGTAATGAATTCATGGAATATTTGAGTAATACCATTGCCATGACTGGAGAGTCTTAAATTTGTTGTAAGTGAAGATTATGGACACAAGAGCATTTTTCCTTTTTTTTTTTTAATATTTGGAAATGCTCTCAAGGGTATTTAAACAAGCACACGGAAAATCCCTACCTCTCCTTAGCCTGAAATCAAGAATTCGCAGTCATTTCTTGTGCCTGGCGCGTGGTGTCTTAGCGTGCTCTGAGCCCTTTTTGAGCAATGTTTGCTTACGGGCACGCGATGCATGATAAGGCTTTCTGAAGTTCTCACGTCGTGGGCCCTAAGCGATGAGCACGTGGGATTTCGGGGGGGTCCCCAACCACCAGAACACCCTTCCCAGCCTATAAGAAGTGGTGGACATCTGGTGTTTCATCTTCCTATAAGGAATTGACTCAGTATAATAGTGTAACAGGAGCTGGCATCGCGCTATTACCTTTTCACTAAGAGGTAAAATGAAAAGCCTGAGCTCTTGGGGTCATTAAGGATCCCATGGCAGCTTTCACTGAGCATGATTTTTAACCCCTGTACCTGTGCTGAATTCCAGGCAAGTAATTGCGTTCCGCCTGTCTGAAATTCCCCCTCCGCAGCAGTCGGCTGTATTCTTAAATATTTACTTACGTGGAGCAGCCGCTGCTACAGGTGAAAACACACATCATTATAATTCATACCCAAAAAAAATCAACCCAATATAGGCCTAGTCTCAAAAGTCCCAATTATTTTTGTTTGAGAACAAAATACATGCCAATCATGTCCTGTTTTATCTGCCTGTGTGTGCCTGGACTCTGTGTTTTTCCTGTTAGAACTGATGAAAGTGTTTGACACAAAATATGAAAAGCATGCAAATCTCGCACCATCCTTCTGCCGTTTGTGCTGCCGCTCCGTTCCTGCAGGAAAAAACCCCCACGCTCCAGAGGAAACCACGGCAGTTGCCATCAGTTACCTACAGATGTCAATTGGCAGTTTTATTAATTGTCCATATCAAAACGACTTGAGCGACACAGCAGTAAAACAAACCAAAGTGACTTAAATTACCCCCCCTCCCACATCAAATGTCTTAACGTGCCATTCTTGGTTGCTTCACTTCAGGTATTGGGGCTGTCCCAAGGAAGTGTCAGTGACATGCTCTCCAGGCCAAAGCCATGGAGTAAATTGACCCAAAAAGGCCGAGAACCATTTATTCGTATGCAGCTCTGGTTGAATGGTGAGCTGGGACAGTGTGTCCTGCCTGCACAAGGGCAGCAACAAGGACAAGGTAATTAAAATTCCACTATGTTGTTTGAGTTGAGGAGGAGGAAGTCTTTTTTTTTTTTTCTTTTTCAATTTGCAGTAAGCGAGACGCGCACCCGGTGCTAGTCCAGGCGTTACTGGAAGTGGCAGCGTCCACCCTCGCAGCCCAGCCGGCCCCTAGAGGGATGTGCTGGGAGTGGTGACCAACTAAGCACTCGTTTATCTGTAATTGATAAGCAGCAGTTATCAAGTTCCTGATTAGGATGATATTATCTAGGCACGAATATGATACGTAATTCAAAAAATTTGGGCCAAAGAGCTGGAAAGTCTCGTGCACTGTTTTCTAGGGTTGCGTAGGGGATTTTTTTACTGTCCAAGGAGAATCTCAATTGCTTTCGCTGGAGGTGAGCTAGAAGAACTAAGCTTTAAAGGGGGAATGCTGTGTTGCAATTATGCTTTTGTTGTGGCTCTCTCTTATCCTAATACCTGTCGATACAGAAAGGCCAGACTAGAGTTCGGCCTCGGTTGTACCCGTAGCATGCCACTGACTCAGATGAGCAGCGTGCCCTCGCCGAGATCAGCCGTGTGCTATTTGTTGAGCCTGCTTACTGTTTAGTTTGTGGTTTGGCATCTCCTTTTATTGTTCCCTGATTTTCCTTTCCTCTCTTATCTAGTCCTTCACTCTGTGACATCATTACAGGATTCCCTACAGCAGGGATGTGCAAGCTCAGGTAATCAGCTGGTTTCAATGATTTGCTCTGAAATAATTCTCTGTGCTTTTGTTACATTTCTTTTGCTTTGATGCCGAGAGGTTTCTCACGTTTTGTTGTATCATACAGGAGACCCTTCAGTTTTTTTATTAACACAGTTAATTTCTCGTTCTCTCCTTGTTGTTATGGCAGATGTAGGGAGTACACATATTTAGCTGCATATATTAGGTAAAGAGACTGTCTGATCTTAGAGATCACTGGCTCTGTAGGGTTTTTTTAACCATAGTTCAGCTTATCAACTTGACATGTGACAATGGCTGTAAAACAAGCCTTTCGTTTGTAATGTGATCTACATACTCCAGCTGCCTTACTCGCTGGCATATTTTTTTCCCACTTCCATTTGCACAAAATCTGCTTTGTTAATGTGAAGGTGGGGAAGAGACCAGGTTATGTCTTTCTTTTTCAAGCTTCGTTAAATATTCCAAGCCGACCTTTTTAATTCCCTCTCTGTTTGCAAAAAAAAAGGCAGATGCAGCAGTGAGGTGTCAGAGAAGGGAATTGCTGCAGGTTTTATAAGATGGCCACAGTATAGGAAGGAGGCTGGAACAGAACAGCTGCGATCCTGCTGTTGGATACCAAACTCTACCCACACGGACTTTTTACCCATGATACGCTTAACAAGTAAACCACCCAGGCTGTTTTGCACTCTAGAAAAATACTGGTGCCCTGCTACAGCCAGTGCCCTGTATGGGAGAATTATTGCATTTCAGGATACAGAGATGGATGGGTTGTGTTCTGCTTCCACCTTTCTGCCTGTCTGAAACACACTTTTTTCCTGGAGCTTGCTGGGTTTATTCGGAATATCCCAGCCAAACTGGTTCTTCTCACTCTAGTGGGAAACTATTGTGGGGAGGCACAGGGACAGGTTGCCCAGAGAAGCCGTGGATGCCCCATCCCTGGAAGTGTCCAAGGCCAGGCTGGATGAGGCTTGGAGCAACCTGGTCTAGTGGAAGGTGTCCCTGCCCATGGCAGGGGGGTTGGAACTAGATGGGCTTTAAGGTCCTTTCCAACCCAAACCAGTCTGTGATTCTATGATTCTATTTTGCATTCTAAAAGATTTTACTGGAAGAAAATCGGTGAATGATATTCAGTCCACGTTTTTCTTAAGAAAATAAATAGATAAAAGCAAAAAAAAAGAAAAGAAAAAAGAAAAAATGCCCCTGGTAAGAACAAGCCATGAAAACAAACCAAAACGGGAAAAAAATTATTTGCAATCACAGGGCTATTGTTACTTAGAGCCAGGCATTTAGCGAACATGGAAATTTCCTGCGACGCTTTGTACGCCGCTGCTCATTGAAAGCGAGCCACTGACTACTTTTTGTAGCGTCAGTACTGTACAAGAGGAACTGTTAGTTATAAATGCCTAAGACACCATGGAAAATATGAGTAATTAATTGTAGCCGTTTTAGGAGGAATTTGAAATCAGAGGAGCTGGGAAAAGGCTGCATTGTTATTGCTAATCATCATATTTATGACTAAGTGTAATTATAAAAGATTGAAAGACAAGCCCATAGTATTAAAACCCAACCACCTTATGGATTCCCGTGAGGATCGCTGGTAGCGGAGAGTGATTTCCTTCAGGAAGTTCAGTTTTGCTGCCGTGATATTTCGCTCCCCTCCCACACTCCCAATCTCATTTGTCAGTTCCTGCCCTTGAGCTAATATTTTGTGAGGTGACACATTCCTATCAGCTAATAAAATCGTATTATTGATGATCGCCCTCCTTCTTCCCTTAAAGCAGACTTACAAATGAGAAAATGGGCTCATGCCCTTCTCTTCTTCCTTTCTGATGATGAAAAATAAAATTGCCGTACCCGACGTTCTTTTCTGTACAAAGGGATAAGGAAGGTTGTGATACCATGCAGAACAAAAGAGAGAACCCAAATTCTTTGGGTGAGGAAGGGCAGTTTGGTAGTTTTCTTTTATTAGCAGCTGTTCTGTAATTAAAAGCGCAGCAAACAGTTTGGAAAAGGTAATAATAATTATGCATTTGTGAAAGATCCTCCACTCCAGGGCAGGAAGAAAAAAAGACAGCTCCAATTTTCTGGTCTTCTGAGACATTTCCTAGGAAAATCAAGGCAGAAAAGGTTGAATACTTGTAATTTTAAAACAGAAATTAATCAGAACAGTTTTGAGATGAGAAAAGGTCTGGAGCCTTTTCCATGTAATATAATTGGCTTGGAACTTGTTGAATGCATGAAGGGAAAGAAGTGAAATTAAACTAATACGTTCAGTGGCTCCTGAGTGCTTTGCCAAGAAGGTCTTCTGTGTACGGAGTGTCAACATGCATAGTAACGACTCCAACTTTTATTAGCTGTGAGTATTTTCATTACAGTTTGGCACTATTCTGTCAAACTAGCAAGATTTTCTGGATTTCTGACCCCGTTAGATACACTTCTAGATCACAAGGTTTTGATTAACACCTCATTCATGAAAATCTGTTCTTTTGTCCGGTAATTTTCCATTGTCACACGTGGACAGATGGACCCATCAGGCTTTTATATGTGAGAATGAATGGATAAGCACGAGAGAGAGGGAGAGAGCACACCAGGCTTGGTTTTCTTCTTTGAAATCTGTATTTATGGATTTTCAAAAAACACAATCTATCCCAAACTCACAACGTGATAGATGTCTGTATTTTCTGCCTGTGACCTTTCATCAAGGCTTTGGTGATTTTATGCAAGTTTCAGTGAACGTGTTTTACACAAAAATGGTGCCTGTACCCTAGGTGGTCAAAAATAGTATCACTGTGCCTTTCCTAACATTTTTTTCTGTGTGTTTCTTTCCACCTAAATGCTCTAATGCCCTTGGGTAAATCTGCCTTTTTACTGATTTATGTGTCAAAAGCACGGACCAAATCACATGGAAAGAAGGAGTTGAATTAGTGTCACCCAACTGCATCAGCGTTTTTTCCCGATGAATTTGGCCCTTATTTAGTTGCATTACTGATGATCAGCGCTGGGTTGGGTTTGGACAGTAGCCATGTGCCAGAAGAAGGTTTATGTGCTTGGAGATTTTTCTAAATACTTGTACTGCATATAGCCTGTATTAGTTTATTTTGGGGTCTTATGTCTTTACTGAGCATCTATATGACATGAAGACAAAGTTTCTTCTTTTGGCGCTGTTGATTTCGTAGCTAGTCCCAGGAAAGCTGAATTTCTATTCGCTTTTGTATTCATCCTCTGTGAAGGACATATACTCTCTATATACTACATTAAAGACTTGCAAATACTCAGTGGGAAAAAGACTTGCCTTTTTGGTATGTGTTTCTGTAAGGGTCGTCTTATGACCTAATGTGGAAATCTTCATTTGCCGATACAGCTGCGGGTGATCTCAGGGGATTTTGAATTTCCCTTTTGTTTGTCTTCCTTTCTGGGTATCATCCATCATTCCTAACCTCATGCTGCTTAGCAATAGTAACACTCATGGGAGTTGAAGAAAGGATTATAGCAGCATAAAATGGGGAGCTAATTAGAGCTTGTTTCAAAATCAGAATCTAGCTTGAGATAATTGCATATTATCTGGTGATTTAAAAACCCAAGATCTACTGTATTTAGATCAACTATAATGTGCATAAAAGCTTTATTTTCAAAATAAAACATTTGTAACAACAGGGAGATTACTTCTTACCATCCCTTGGGAAAAGAAATCGGAATGCAATCTATGTTTTACTGTAGTTGTGATATTAACAGACATACTGTGGAATGATGACAAGCCCAGGTATCCACGTTATATTTTTATTTATGTAACACATATTCCTGTAATCTGTGTCGGTACAGAAGCTGCTGAGTGGGCAGGTAGTTAACGGTGTCCTGGGTAGATCTTCCCGTTCACCTGGTAACAGAAGGATGCTGCGACACTGGCTGCTCTGAGGGAAACAAGGTGGGGAGAGGGCGTTTTTCAGGCTGGCAGTCTGTATTCGGGATTACCATCCTGATGCGCTACGGGAAGAGCTCGCTGGCCACATGATGGCAATGGAGAAGCTCCTATTTCCTCCACCCCATTTCTCCCTCTTTCATGATTATTTCTTCCATTTTACTGTTTCGTGTTGGGCAGGCAGAGCTGTCTGAGCTGGTGCTCCAGAGCACGGTTGGAATTAGCACATGGAGAACCGAACCCTTAGTCCCTTGAGGTCACACAAGTGATCAGTCCGGGGATGCTGACAGATCCTCCCAGATCTGAGCTATTTTTTGTTGTTGAATCAAAAAGAAGAGAGGGAGTGCTTTGCAGTCATTCGCTGGCATTCCGGGTTAAT